AGCTTTTGAAATTTCACTGTGACATTGTGGCCTCATACATCCAGGCGTGTATAGATTCTACTAGCAAACCCGGCAGTCAAATTCTTTCTAACAGTAAACAAATCCATGTTTAACCCTCCTCTTAAGGGTCAAAACGTTATCCGACACTTACTCTTCACATGTCAGCAGAAAGTACATTTCATGGTCCTTTCAATAAAGCCATAAAAATGCTAGGTCACTTTTGTGGCTGAAACAAAAAAGTTTTTCAATCGCTCCGTTAGACCATGTCCTCAGAAAATGTCTAAAATCTGCCCTGTGCCCCATTGACCTTTGACGTGTGACCTCCAATTTCGGCACAGTGATGGCTTTTCCTACCATAATGCTATACACCGATTATCACGAGCCTAGGTCGAGCCGTTTAGATTTGTGCCGCATTGGTCGGAATCTGCACAGTGCCGGGAGACTACAGCAATGGCTACCTTAGCTCCAAGAAACGGTATTGCTAGGGTTATAATACCGGGTATAGACAATCCGTCGCACAGCCCGGTCGGGCTATGGCTACCTGGGCACTTAAATTCCAAGTTGTTTAACGATAAAAGTTTTTCTTTTGATAGCACCAAACGAGGCATTTTTAAGGCTTGATTGTACACTCCGGGCATTCTCTAGGTGTTTAAAAAAACTTTCTTGTCATGCAAGGTAGGTTCACAATAATAATAGCTACTAAAAGACACAAAATATTACGCAGCCTAGAAAACACATGCTGCATGTTACACCACCTTACACACCAGTAAAGTGCATGTAGGCACGCATGCAGACACGCACGCACGCACGCACGCACGCACCCACGCACGCGCGCACATACAAACTTCAACACCCGCCGTGGGTACACGTACGCGCACATGCGTTTAAAGAAAGCATAGGGGACGCGCATATACGCACACTCTATAAGCAGATCATTGCAGCTGATTTTGTAGTCGTAAATGCAGAAGATGTTTGATAAGAATAGTCAGCAGTTGGACGTGACCGAGCCGGGGTCGCGGGATCGCAGGTAGACATGAGTTCATCGGGTGAGTCAACGTGAAATGACAGGTGCGATAATGCTATCTTGAGCGATGGCTGGATTTTATAGTGCACACGAACTGAACTCGTAACAAATTTGGCGAGTAGAAAAAATCCACGTACTGACTCCGTGATAAAGAGCCTTTATATAGTATGAGAAATCGCAGTAACGCCATTTACGAGAGTCAGACGTGCTGATTCTGAAAATATCTTTAGTTTTCCTCTAGGCTGCGGATTTCTCTAGTTATGCGAGTATGGACTAATTTGGCTGAACAACTTTATATATACACAGATAGGAGGTAGCAAAATTTTCCTAGCTTTTTATGTCACAAGCTCCTGTCGACGTGTCATTTGTTTGAGGATCATACTCATACATAGGCTATGGATATTGCAATTTATTTTAACGTAACATATGAGTTTGAAACATCAATAAAATGAGTGTATCAATACATCATCAATACATCACTTTACACTTACAGTATAGTTGCTGTTCAAGTCCTCAACATGGCTCAGCCTACACCATGGATGGCGATGCCTCCCATGGCAGGACAAGTTCCAAACTGCCCACCCGGTCTCGAGTATCTAACACAAGTTGATCAGGTTTGTAAAATTGTTTTCTCTATTTATTACTTACTTGTATGCTACACTCACATGCGGTCTTGCGGCCCTATGTCGAAAGACTGCATGACCTGTGTGTTGAGTCATTCTTGCACCTGGTCAGGTATCAGGGTTCTCTCCAGGCCTTCAACGCATGTTGCGTCTGGCATACCTTCAAGACTGAAGGTAAATAGTGACATTCCTTAATTGCCTATTCAACTGCTTATTGACTAATTAATCATTTTCCTAATTGTTTAGGTCTCTGAACTGATTAGGTTTACTTGTGTATTGGAGCTGTGTATGACATGCATAATTGATTCCAATTGGTACAACCCGCTCAGACCCTCCCCCATCCATCCATAAATTCCTGGCAAGAAATTCCTGGGGAGAACCTTGGGCCACAATGAAAAAAGTCTTTGTTTGTCCTCACCCGACCCAGGCTGAAAAGGTTGGGTAGGTAGGTGACTTTTTTTGAGGGGGGTCTTTTCACAAATTCAGCATGGTGTCTACATGCTCGGGTACGTGCTTGTGTGGAGATCTATACCTTTTATGTTGAATGTTTGTTTTGCTTAGTACATATAATGTATTGCCTACAGATTTATATAATGTACAGTGGTACAATTTGTAAAAAAAAA